GAGAGAGAGAGAGAGAGAGAGAGAGAGAGAGAGAGAGAAAGAGAGAGAGAGCAAGTATGGATTCAAATAGGATAAGAAATCAAATAGAGACAGAATGAGAAAAATGTAAAGTCTGAAAATAGAAGAACTTTGAATTCAGTTGAATATTTTTTATACATATTAATTTCGAATTTATCGATGAAACTTTTGTATATATGCTTATATGATTGTATGATTGTACTGTATGATTTCTTTTATTCAAATATATTTTTTAGTAGACTATACTCAACATTATACGTAGACAATATTATATAGGCAACAAGAAATTACATAAGAACATTTAATTATCGCAATTATATGAAATCATAAAATTAGATAAAGTCACAATTATTCGGATATTTCAATGAAGAATAATAACAATGGAATACATTACATCAAAGAGATATATAAATTATTAATATTAGAGTTTCCCATAAATTACTTTTGCACCATGCTAGGAATGACTTTAATTGGCTATTTTTATATGAACATGCAAGCTTATCTATTATATCTTATATATCGTATATATAAGCCGTTTCTGGTATCAGTTTCAATCGTCTAAGAACTCTTTAGTATGTTTCGTTGGTGACACAGACTCTTTTAAAACTTTTTTCTATATCGTTTAATATATATGGATAATCAAAGGAAGCATTTGTGGTATGTTTATGCTTCATTGCTTTAAAAAAAATGCAAATGATACTGCAGACGAAATTTGTACACGGGAATGATATTACGACCATCCGCAATTGGTTTAAAAGATTTAGAGGGTGACAATTTTGAATTGAAAGATGAAGGCCATAGCGACGGCCAGCAACAATCTTATCAAGGCTATGCTCGTTGAAAATCTGCGATAGTAGTACGAGATAATGAATACCACTAATATTCCCAAGACAACAGTACATAATCACCTGATCAGGGTAGGATATGTCGATCGATGTAAAGTTTGGATTTCACAGCTATTGACGGAGATTGACCTTATGAATCGCGTCTCTATGAGCAATTTGTTTCTTCAACAACATGAAAGAGATCCTTTCTTAAAAAGACTTGTCATTGGAGATGAGATTTGAATTTTATATCAAAATGTGTATCGAAAACGTACTTGATTTAAAAACAATAAATCTTCAACTATCGCGAAGCTTGGACTTCCGAAGAAAGTTCTTTTGTCCATTTGGTATAACTGGAAAGGTATAGTTTACTATGAGTTCCTTCCTCAAGGTGAATCTATTAATTATGCAAAATATCACAATCAGCTTGATAAATTGAAAACTATCATAGCAGAAAAACGGTCAGAATTGGCGAACTGACGAAGCGTTTTTCATCACGACAATGCAAAATCGCATGTTGCATTAGCTGTAAGAGAAAAGCTGTTACATTTGAATGTTCTATCGTTAGATATTCTATCTATCTATTCTCCAGATCTTGCTCTATCTGATTATTAGTTGTTTCTGTCATTAAAAAATTCTCTCCATGATAAACGATTCCAATCCATAAACGAAATAAAAACGCATCTCAAAAAATATTTTGTAAATAAGCCCCAACAATTTTGGAAAGAGAGAATAATAAAACTTCCTGAGAGATGAAAGAAGGATAGAGCAGAACGGTTCATATATAACACAATAAATCAATCGTAAATAACAAATATCATACATTCATTTCATATCAAAAAAGAAAGAAACTTATGGGACACCCTAATATATGACATATGAATTGAATGATATCAAAGAATCAAACATTCTGAATAGGATTAAAATTAAAAAAATTAGAAAATTAGAAAATCAATAATAATAATTTTCAAATTATTATTGAAAATCTAATATATTTAACAATTTCAATAAGACCGGATATAATTATACCATAATACTGAATAGAAAAATGAAAAATTCAAATGAATTTTAATGAATAGAAGCTAAACAAAATATGATAATGAAATATCTAAAAGATTATATATATATCAAATATAAACTAAAACTCAAATATTACAGACAGAGAGAAAATTAGTTACATATAAATACGAATTGGGAAAAAACAAAAATTAAACAAGATAAAAAATCCAATAACGAATTCTGAAAAAATATGATGAAATCTGAAATATTCAGCCAATTAAATAAAATATAAAAAACAGAAATCCGTAGCTATTTCACAGAAATGACTATTAAAATATTTCACAGAATTTGTTTTCTTGATGCATAAAAAAGTATATATTTCAGAGAAAAAATAAAGTATATATCAATCAGTTTATATATACCAATCAGTTTATAAAAATAAGTTGCATTATATTGATATAAAGTCAAAAATTTAAATAAAAGATTTTTTAATAAGAAACATAAGAAGACCAATCCAAACAAAAATTATTTACAAAATATTTATTAATTTCAAATCTTATTTTTAAATTATAGTCTTTTATTAATTTAAGCTAGAAAATTTACATATTTATTTGTGAAAAAAAAATAACAAAAATATGTCTCGGAACTTTCAATTTTTTTTTTTGTATTCCTGAAACAACTAGTTTAAATAAGATAATTACTCTTAATAAATATATTTTTATAAAAATTTGTGAATATTTGAAAAAGACATTTTTGATATAGATACGATATGTATGAAATTGAAATAATCACAACACATAAACCATGAAAAATAATTAGCATAAAAGAAGAAAAACAAACTTCCAAAACCAAATTTACCGAATTTTAATACATTTTGATTAATATATTGTGTAATTAGTTCTTTAGAAGATTTTCATTTTTCATTTTCTCTCAAATCAAGGTACTTTTTTAAGTTCCATTGCAATTACACAGTGAAAATGAATAAATAATAAAAAAAAATTTTAAATATCTCAATTATTTCATTAGGCATGCTAAATCTATCTAATAATGAAAATTTTCATTATTAGGCATGAAAATGTTTTTTTGTTCTTGATAATAATATAAGTTACATCTTTTTATAATTTACTTTATTTTGCAAAAATAATAGAATTTCTATTTATACTATTTTATAATACTTTTTTATTTATACTATCATTATTCACTAGTTATCATCATTTCCATTAAATATTTTTGTTTTTACTTCATTCAAAAATTTTTATAATAAACAGATTTATGGATATTAAATAATCATCCTTATCAAATAATAGCATTACAAAAAATAGCAAAATTAATTATATATTTATTATAGATATATAGTCAAAAACTTATAGTATTATAAAAGAATATTTTATGATAGAAATTCAATTCTTAATGATTTATTTGATGATTTTAAATACAGAAATAAATACAACTTCTCAAATAAAACTTTCGTAAACAATATTTTATTTTTATATATCTCTTCAAAATTTTTCTATTGAATTAGAATCAATTACAAGCAATTAGTCAGTTTTTTCCAACTTTCAAATTCTAATAATGCAAAATCACAATATATAAAAAAATATTCTCATGAAATTATCTATTTTTTAGGCAAATATGTGTAATATATTTGGATAAGAATCCATAAAATTGATTGTTCAGAATATTCGGACGAAAATGCATCATCTATAATATCTTTTTAATATAATATTTATATTTCAATACTTATATCTCAATAATAATACTATTTATATAAAAATTTTAACAGAAAATACTTATATCCTAATATTCAACACTATTAAATATATTTATATTATATGTATTTTTAAAAATTATTTATCGTGTTCAATTTTGTCACAAAGTTCGTAAAATATAAATATTTTTATTATTTATGATATTTGTTAGATTATATACAGAATAGCATATACAATCGATAAGATAGGATAATGAATATATTATTTTAATGACAATATTCGTAAATTAATAAACAGAAATGTCAAAATTACACAATTTAGATTAACGCAATACCATATATAATATATTTGTATATTAGTTATGTAAAATGTATTCCACGCTATATTATTTATAAATAATTAAAATATTATAAATAAATAAAAATAATATTTATAATATTATAAATAATATTTATAAATATTAATATATATTTAATAATATTTTCTCAGTTGTTTCGAAACATACTGATCGAATATATTTATCATGTATGTAGTCACATATTTAATTGTCTTATTAATCACAATTATTATTTTATTTCTATCATTAAATATAGTGATATATAGTATATGAATATTAATATATGATAACAAGACTTCTAAGTATAAGAAAATTTAAATATAGAAATCAATAATTTATTGAATGGAAAATTATTAAATCAATCAAATTCACAATCTTCAAAATCTTATACTTTTGCTACAATGAGTGTTATATAATACTCCAATAAAAAAAAAAAATCATTGTAATTGATGATAAATAATTATGATCTTGTTATGATCAAAATTACGAATAATATCATATGGTTTGTCTTCCAAATTTCAGATAGTCAAATTTATATTTATCTTAATAATAAAGATACAACCAATATTTTTGTATTTAATAATAATCATTTCAAATTATCAATTAATTATCAATTAACAATATGTTTATCACAGTCATTCCTATTTAATAATTAATAAAACATGCAAAAAATTATTTTTTCTTTATATTCGGTCCACATGAACATATAGAAAATATTTTTATAAACTATAATAAAATAGATATTGCTATTGGCCGAAATTAAGCAAGATGATTTTCGAGCGAGAATTCAAAAAACTCGGATTTTCATATTTTGTGAATTGTGAATATTTTGAAAAACAAATTTTCATCAATCTTGAAGAATTAGAAAATGAGATATCAAAAATTCCTGAATCCTTTTTAATCACCTATAATAACATTCACCTATAATAACAAAATTTTCTCATCTATAGATAAAGTTGAATGCTTTTTATGTAAACAGAAAGATTATGTAACTAATTAATGAAATCTTATTATTAAAACAATAAACATTAATTAATAATGAAAATAAAAAATTAGTTTAATTCAATAAGAACAATATAGATAATACAAATTTTTTTTAAATAACTCTACATCTAACATAGAAATTCAATCTAGTTATGTTCAATTAGTACTGCAAATTTAGGTAATAAAAGCATTATATAAAATTTCGGAAATATTTACTGATGTTAATGTACATATAAAATAAAACATGTGTAAAAATAATGTACATATAAAAAAAAATATAAAGTAATTTAAATCCCGTCAACAAACGATATAACAAAATTTTTAATGAAAAAGATTAATAAACAAAAAAAGAATCAGCAAAATTAATAATGATATAATTAAACTAGCTGAAAGTAAACAAAACAATGGTGCATAAAAAATGAAGAATTATATAAAGACATACAAAAACACTCTGTGAAACAAGAAATACAATAATTATCCAACAGACATAAAGAAAAAATAATAAACTATTTAAATCAGTCAATATTTATATACTAATATAATATTATATCATATAATATTATAAAAAGATTAAAACAACATCCGTAGGAGTTAATGATACAAAATCAGACATGAATATTCTAAAACATTATGGATTCTCTCATGGATATTATTCCATTGAGAATAACATCCATATGTTTTTCTTTATTGCTAAGACAATTCGGCAAATATCCTATAAAATAAATTATAAAAATTTGAAACTTGGAATTATAAAAAAAAATGAGACTTGGAATTATAAAAAAAAATATGTTAATATATGAAAATGAAGACGATGGTCGAAACAATAAGCAGCAATAATATCGGAAAAAAATTTTCTAGATATGAAACATTATATCAGGAATTTAATATTAGAAACTTTATTTGTCACCGTAATAATATAATTTCCATTTTATTATTATAAATTTCATGTTTTATGAGTTTCATTTTCATTTTTTTACATATTTAAAGATAAAAATTAAGTCTCGTTTCTTTTTCTATTTTTTTATTTAATTTTTCTATGCAAAAATGATTTATTAATGATATTTGAATCCATTCATAACGAAAAATAAAGAATAATTTGAAAAGAAAAAACTCAAATATAGTTAAAACGTCACATAAAAGCTGAATTTTAATTTAAATTAAATTATTTATATATTTTTATATATTTTTTAAATCCAAAAATAAACAAAATTTATAAGAATTTATCGTTATAACAATCGTTATAACAATTAGTGAATGAAAAAAAATAATTCAAAATAAAAAAAATTTTAGGTTTTTAACATAACTTAATAAATAATAATTTTAAGAAAAATGTTTAAAATACAAGTAAGATATAATTTTTTTTTATACTTTTACACTCTGAACTTTATGAGATTTTAAGCGAAATAATAGAAATATATAATAATGTAGTTTCTATATTCAAAATACTTTTATATGATTATGATCGAACAGACAAATTCATTTCACTATTAATAATCAATACTAACAATATGTTTTAATTAATCACATAATTCATATGATCATGAATACAGTTAATTATATACATATACTAATATAATGTGTTATATATATATAGCTATAACATTGAGATTGATAATATGTAACTTAATAACAAATAATAATAATGAACTTAATAATAATTTCAAAATATAAGAAATAATGAAAAATATTTTAATTTCTTTTAATTACTATACTACATATATTACTTTTTCTTTAAAAAAATATTCCTATATTATTAACTGAAATAATATATTTATATAACATTAAATCCTTTTTATATAATGATAAATTTCATATAGCCAAGATCGCTTAAGACTGCTTAATAAATGAAAAAATAATAAATATTATGTAATTTATATTTCAATACATTCAAAAATATACTTAAACAATTGTAATCAGTTTATAATCAGGAATAAAAGAAAGAATATTTTTTTTGAACAAAAAATTTACACTCAATTATTCCAATATAAGAAATATAAAATTAATGAACAATATATTACAAAAAAAGATTTTGTAAAATAACTTGAAAATCTGAAAAAATTGCAATTAGCATAAAATATCTAATCAAATTGTCAATAAATATTTTAATAACATAATTTCAATTAATAATATTTAATCTTGTAGATCACACTATTCGCTAGAAATTTCATTTTTGAACACAGCAGAAAATTACAATTAAAATTTGCTAAGAGATATTATTTCTGAATAAATTTAAATTGATTAAAAGTTTATAAGTCATAATTCAAAATAGAATACATATTAAAAAATTTTCAGATTCGGACAAAAAATCTTCGATTTATAGATAAACATTTATCTATTGAGCTATTAAGCAGTTTTAAGTAGTTATATATATATCGCCTATATTTATGTATAATAAATGCATCTTACCTGATGTGCCTTTTTAATATTAAAAAGTGAGGCAGTTCCTCTGAACCATGCACCAAGAAAACTACAATGACATTGATTAGCTGCCCTTATTTCAGTGCAAGCTAAATGATCTAAATTATTTAAATCTAATTTATTACGACAATAATCAAACATATGAATCATTTCATGACTTAAAGTACTTTGAACATAATTTTTGGTACGAGCAGTATTTTGACAAACTATAATCTGAAACATATAAAATATTTTATATTAATAATATAAACACATAAATATTTTATAACTAACATTTACCTGATTTGTTTCTGGATCATAACCACCAGTAACTGTTTCATCACATACTTCACATACAATATGACGACCAAGATCAACTTCACTAAAATTGTTGTAAATAAAAAAACAAAGAGAATATAAAATCTTTTTTTTATAATTTTTTATAATATTCATATTATTATTGGCCAATTTTTTTCTCATAAATAATAAATATTAAAAAAAAATGAAAGACAAAGAATTTTTGCAATCTTCTAATTAAAATAATGTATATTAAATATTAATTCATTACATTTCATTAATATTGATGTAATTAGATAATTATTAAACAAATATCCGAAATGATATAAATATCGATACAATGGTTACGTTTCAATTCCTTGATTCATGATCAAAAAGAAGTTTGCATAATTTTGTCGCTATATTATAGATATTAATCATTTTCTAGTGAATAAAATCATTCTTTTGTTTAAATATATTTATCGCATATATTCCATTTAAAAATCTTATAACAATATGTTTAAATCTTGTAACAATGTATATTGATTTTTATATTTATAATATTTCTTGAAACATTTAGTTTCAAAATATATATATGTATATATGCCCTTTAATTTTTAAAATTTAAAATATTTGACTTTAATAAATTATTACATAATGAATTATATAAATGAATTTATCTTAGCATGCATTATTTCTTGATAATTGTGTTATAAATTGATATATGCATCATTGTGATCATAAATAGATTATAAAATTCATATTTCAAAATTTATATTTTGAATTACTAAAATTATATTTATTAATTTAATATAATATAATGTAATATAATCTAATATAAATATTTTATTCTAGCATGATCTTATTCAATCTTATCCAATTATTGAATCAAATAATTAAATATATATATTCACGAATTAGTTTT